ACAATATATATAAATATAACACCAATAAATAAACAAATAATATATATAATACACCACATATATATATATATATATATAAAATATAAACAAAATATATATATATATATATAAAATATAAATTTCAATAAATAAAAAATTATATATACTAATATATATATAAAACAATAATATAAAAAAATAAATAATAATATAAATAAATAAACAAAATATATAATAATATATAAAATATATATATATAACAAAATATACACAAATATATATATATATATTAAAAACAAATAAATATATAAAAAAAAAACAAAATATATATAATATAAAAAAAAAACATATATAATAAATAAAAAAACAATATATATAAAAAAAATAACAAATATAAAAAATACACACAATAAAAAAAATATATATATAAACCAAAAAAATATACAAATATATATAAAAACAAATACATAAAATACATACATAAAATACAACAAATATATATAAAATACAAAAAATATAAACAAAAAAAACTAATATATAATAAAAAACTATATATATACACATAAATAAATAAAAATACATAAAATATAAATAACATAAATAATATATATACACATAATAATAATATACATACAAAATATTATATACATATAATATATATATACATACATATAAATATATACATAAAATAAATATAAAATACATATATAATAATACATATATATATATATAAAACATACAAATACATAATATATACACATATATATATATATATATTTATACATATACATATATAATATACACAACTTCCCCACAGTGAACTCTGGCGGAGGTAGGAGCGGGTACCTGTCAAAACCAGGTACCCGCTCTCCCCCAAAAAGGTGCCAAATATGGCAGGGGAGGAGGCAAATAAGCGGAGCTTCCACTTTTGCTTGGAACTCTACTTTAAATAACTTTCAGTAAAAAAAAAAAAAAAAAAAGATATTTGTGTCTTACCTTTTATATGGTGCCAAACAGTAGCTGTTAAAACAGTTGACGATTCTCAGAAGCTCAAAGTCCAAAGAAAGCTGCCTATTAAAGGCTAAGGCTGGCCATACATTACACAATTTTCCTTTACAATTTACCAAAACCATATAATATGAGGTCGAACATAAACATTTTTCAATTTGTATGCAACCAGGCAGGCCCTTGCACTACATAGTTGAAGGTAAATCTAAAGGAAATTGAACAAGAAAATTGTATTATGTATGGCCAGTTCTAGTTCACCTTTTGAAAATAAATAAATGCACTTTTTTGCAGGTAAAAAAAAGTGCATTATTTTTTTTTTTTTTTAAGGAGCCAGGGCCCTCCAAACTATGGCCTTCCAGGTGTTGAGGAACTGCAAGTCCCATGAGGCCTTGCAAGACTGACAGCCACAGGCAAGACTCCCGGAGGCATGATGGAACTTGTAGTACTTCAACAGCTGGAGGGCCATAGTTTTGACACCCCTGCTACAGAGCATCGCACACACAATCAGCAGAACGCAGGTGAAATCTCAGGTTCCTGCAGACGTTTCAGGATAGCGGTCTGTCCATATCTCATACGGGCAGACAATTACCTGAGAGCAGGAAGAATGAATGAACTACCAGAGCACTCACCAGAACCTTCGTAGTTCGTTGTAAACTTTGGCTGACGGTACTTGAAGGCAATTTATTCACAGGAAATAGTAAATGAATGAACAAAGCCGTCATGTGGGCACAGCAACACATGGCTGCTCTGTTTCTAAACTGTGACAGCGGGTGTGGGGAGAAGATCCATTGCTCGCTGTCACAGGGAGCGGAAAAACTGGAGGATGGGGTGTAGATGCTGGAACACGTTTTGGCTTTTTATTTGCCCTGGTGATGGGAAATTCAAAATGTCGCAGTGCTCACTAGAACAGTAAAACCAAAAAAAAAAAAAAGGGTCGTCATCCAACAAAATTGGCCGATTTTCAGATTGTCAGTGGGTTAATAGGTCGGCCGTTTTTCAGGATTTTTGCACATTTTTTTTATCGGTAAAGTTGAAAAAAAAAATCAGCCGATTTTGCCGATCGGCCGATTTTCAAGGCAATGATGGGCAAATCGGCCGATCTTTTTTACCGCTAAAAAAATCTGCACATGAGCCATGACCAGCAAGAAGAAATAGAAGAAGAAAAAGAAACAGAAGAAATAGAAGAAGAAATAGAAGAAGAAAAAGAAGAAGAAGAGGAAAAAGAAGAAGAAGAGGAAAAAGAAGAAGAAGAGGAAAAAGAAGAAGAAGAGGAAAAAGAGGAAGAAGAAGAGGAAAAAGAGAGGAAGAAGAGGAAAAAGAGGAAGAAAGAAGAGGAAAAAAGAAGAGGAAAAAAGAAGAAGAAGAAGAAGAAGGAAGAGTAAGAAGAAAGAGGAAGAAGGAAGAGGAAGAAGGAAGAGGAGGAAGAGGAAGAGGAAGAGAAAAAGAGGAAGAAGAAGAGGAAAAAGAGGAAGAGGAGGAAAAAGAGGAAGAGGAGGAAGAGGAGGAAGAGGAAAAAGAGGAAAAAGAGGAAGAAGAGGAAGAAGAGGAAGAAGAGGAAGAAGAGGAAGAAGATGAAGAAGAGGAAGAAGAAGAAGAGGAAAAAGAGGAAGAGGAAGAAGAAGAAGAGGAAGAAGAAGAAGAAGAAGAGGAAAAAGAGGAAGAGGAAGAGGAAGAAGAAGAGGAAGAAGAAGAAGAATTCCAGTCCGCAATCATATTTGACATGAAAAAGTATTGCGGTTGCCACAATGTATACATTTGTATCTGAATAAAAACATCTGTATCCAAAATGGATACAATATTGCAACCGCTATACTTTTTCATGTCAAATATAATAGCGGAGCTCTCTTCAGGGACAGAAGTAATTAAAAGCCGGCCGTAGACGGGACAAAAAGCGGCTGATTTTTTTTTCGGTTGGTGGTAACGTCGGCCTATTGAACGACCGATTTTTCGTTTTTTGTTAAAAAAACGGCCGGTTTTCGACCCATCTATGGCCTGCATAAGAGGCATTTCCGTCATACTGCGGGGATTCCTTCTCACTTTTTGTGCCTCCACAACAGGAAGCAGGACAGAAAGGGTAAAATTTCTCTAAAAGAACCTTGCATAGCAGTAAAAACCCAAAAGGATTTCTAATCCTTCCGCACTTTATCAAAATGGTATTATAAGTTCACATATATTACCTTTAAATGTTTTGCCTCGATCGCCCTTCGTATATGGGTTCATCAAAACGGCCCGACGTAATGCTGCCAGTTGTTGACTTATCGCAGATGGGACTCCCTGAGCAAGGGAAACTGTGGTGCTATTTTGAGATTCTGTAGATTTTGAAATGGCTGAAGGCTGAACCTTTCCAGAAGCTGGTCTCTTCCTCGAGTCTCTCTGGCTCATTGTAGGATAGCCATCAGCAGCAGCATGGCGCATTGGTGAAGGCTCTTGATTCATTGTGGGATAGCCATCATCAGCAGCATGGTGCATTGCCGAAGGCTGTTGATTCATTCCAGTTCGGCCAACGGCAGGAGGCTGGCGCAAAGCCGCCCCTTCGTGGCCCATCATGTATCTGTCATCACTAAAGCCACCCTGCAGCCCGGCTCCTTCCTGATTTTCTGTAGCTTTGGCTCCCAAGAAAGCACGCTGCAACATAAGCATGACTTCCTCTCGACTTCTTCGGGGTTGGCCTTCACTGGAAGGAGAGCGCATCATTCGATCTTGACCCATTGGGTATTGGCCATCACTGGAAAGACGGCGCATCATTACATCTTCTTCACTCATTGGGTAATGGCCATCACCGGAAAGGCGACGCATCATTACGTCTTCGTGACTCATCGGGTATCGGCCATCACTGGCCCGACGGCGCATCATTAGCTCTTCTTGGCTCATTGGATAGCGTTCATCAGCAAAAGCACGTCGTAAATGAGCCCCTTCTAGATCCATAGGTCCTACACCTAACCGGCGGAATCTTTCACTTTCAATAAGCTGTTCCTCAAAATCACGTTGTGAAAAACGACTTTGAAATGGGTCTCTTTCCATCCTCATGGATTCAGCAAACCCAAACCTAGAGAATTCAGCATCCTGGAGATATCGCGGATCACCATGAAGAGGGTTGTGTAACGATCGGTTGCGCAGACCTGGAGGGACTCCAAAAAATGGGTCGCCTTGGCGCTCAGTCCTCAAATCAGTATCACGTTCCATAAGCAAAGGGTCCACTTGATTTTTCCTTCCTGTGGAATCACAAAACGTACCCTTAATGTATCACAGAGGCACAGAACGTGTTACCCATACAAAATTTTATTTACTTCAAAGCCATGAAATTTGACTTTAGCGATCTTGTCACTTAACCGAAATACGATCGAATGCGCCAGTAAAAAGGGACAGAGGATATAAATACATGGACCAGCACCTGTTCCTGAAACGCAAAGCCACAGAAAGAACCTTTACATCTGACACCACCTTGAAGTGTGCTGAATGTAAAGACTGTGCTATGTGGTGCCTACAGGCCACTATGTCACTACAGGGCACAGCAGTGACCTAAGGGGTGGTGGCAGGAACTGATGTAAAAGGGCCAACCGGGCAGCCATAACTCTGTAGCAGAGCCCCCAAAGTATACCCTCTCTTCCATTCTAACAGGCAGTGAGAAAAACTGAGGAGCTGTAGATGTGTCTGCGGACTTTTAGGAAAGCGTGTGGTTTTGCCACGAAGACACAGTAGTGACATAGCCGCCATCAGGAAGAATCATATGACGTCCTCCCATTCTCACCGCGCATGCGCGGCTCAGGGAGCAGGCAGCGCGGCGATCGGCGGTGCGCTGTGTCCCTTGGACACAGCGGATTACCGATCACGGAAAGAGCCGAAGATGTCGACTCGGTCATGTGATCAGCTGTGTCCAATCACAGCTGATCACATGTAAACACAGAAATGCCGGTTATCGGCATTTCTCTCCTCTCGAGCTGTCAGCGTGAGAGAGGAGAGCCGGTAATCGGCTTTCCACGGAGGGGACATGTACACTGATCATCAGGGCACTGATGATCAGTGTAGCCCCAGCAGTGCCACCTGTCAAAGTCCATCAGTGCCAGCTGTCAGTGTCGATCAGTGCCATGTGCCAGTGCCTATCAGTGCACATCAATGCCACATATCAGTGCCCATCTGAGCAGCCTTTCAGTGTCATCCATCAGTGCCACCTATCAATGCCAATCAGTGCCACCTATCAGGGCTGCCAAGCAGTGCAGCCTAACAGTGCCAGTCAGTGCCGCCTAACAGTGCCAGTCAGTGCCGCCTAACAGTGCCATATATCAGTGCCATGTATCAGTGCTGCCTTTCAGTGCCCATCAGTGATGCCTGTCAGTGCCCATCAGTGCCACCTATTAGTGGCCATCACTGCAGCCTCATTAGCGCACATCCGTGAAGGTGAAACATCACTTATTTACAAAATTTTTATACCAAAAACTAAGAAAAAACGTTTTTTTTTTTTCTCTAAATTTTCTGTGGTTTTTGGTTTAAGAAAAATAAAAAACCCCAAGGTGATTAAATACCACCAAACAAAAGCTCTATCGGTCACAAAAAAATGATAAAAATTTCATATGGGTACAGTGTTGCATGACCGCGCAATTGTCATTCAAAGTGCAACAGCGCTGAAAGCTGGAAATTGGCCTAGGCAGGAAGGGGGTAGAAGTGCCCTGTAGGCGAGGGGTTAAGCTCCCTAGCGGTCTGATTATGTCCATATTTCTGTGCTCAAAAGGGTACATTGTTTTCAATGGAAATAGGTTTGTTTTTTTATTGTAGGCCTGTAATTTTTAGGAATAACTCACTGAAATCTGTCCGAACAAGAGTCTAGTAAACATCCCGGGTAGGATAAAACTTGAAACACGAAATCATAAATTATAATATAATAATCATAAAAAATAACATAATAATAATACATTTAATTCAATAATGGAATCAAACCAAAAACACTGAAATTTGACCATCACTGAGCTCAGTTGCAGAATCGTTTTCAGTGTCTGATGAGGAATTTCCCCCACGAATAATTATCACTCAATTCTGCAAGTGGTTCTGATTTACTATCGCTGTTCTCTAGCCGGTCTAAAACCGCTTTTGACCTAAAGGGACACGTTTTGGACGCCATGGACGTTTCTCAGTTTCGAGGCAGAAAGAACAGTAAAAATGCAGGCAGGGCGCAGGACAAAGCACTCGGGACAAAATGTATGTGAAATGGTTTGATACAGTAATATGATACTATCAGATTTTAGTGTATTGAGTGAATGTCACATTTTTAACTTTTTTAATTTCCTGCCGGTTCCGTCCCCAGTACGTCCCGACGCTCACAGGGAAGGGAACCCGGATGCCGGCATCGGCCGGAGCACATGGCTGGGGACACTGCAGGGGGTACATCGTGGGACCGCAGGACAAGGTAAGTGATCGAGGGATCCCAGAGCAACTCTGCATGGTAAGCCCGAGTGTAGCTCGGGGTTACAGCTTTTGGTACTGAAACTTAACCCAGAGCTACACTCGGGAATACCGCCAGGGGGGTTAAAAATCACACCAGTGGAGTCCCTAAGAACTGTCACAGTGGTCACATGATCGGAAGATGGCACCACCGGCTACTGATCTGTAGCCCAGACCAAGGGCAGTCAGCGACTGCTTGGTCTATGTGCAGTGAGCACACTCTCAGCACATAATCATCGGCTGCCCAGGGACACATTTGCGGCGTATGGGCGTTCAAGCCCACCCCTCTTTGCGCCACACATGTAAAAAAGGGTTTATCTATCCGTTTTTATTATGGACAGACCCTTTAAATAAGCAAAGATGGAAAGTGAAGGTACCTTGAAGTTCTTTAGGTTCTGGCTTTGCAAAAACTTTCTTGAGAACCTGAAATATGAAAGAAATAAAAATAAGACAAGGTTAATCAACGAAGGATCAAAAAAGTCTAAAATCGGAAACAAATATTTTCTAGATGAAGTATATAAAAAAAAAACAATCTTTTGCATATGCTCATTTTCAATGGGATTCCAATCTCTAAAAGGAACCTTAAGGCGGCCATAGAAGGATCGAATCTCGGCTGGTTCAGCAAAAACCGGCCAAGATTTGATATACAGTGCATCCGGAAGTATTTCCAGCGCTTAACTTTTGCCACATTTTGTTATGTTACGGCCTTCTTCAAAATAGATTAAATTCATTTTTTTCCTCAACATTCTCTGGAGAGATCTGAAAATGGCTGTGCGCCGACGCTCCCCATCCAACCAGATGGAGCTTCAGAGGTACTGCAAAGAAGAATGGGAGAAATTGCCCAAAAATAGGGGTGCCAAGCTTGTAGCATCATCATACTCAAAACGACTTGAGGCTGTAATTGGTGCTAAAGAGGCTTCAACAAAGTATTGAGCAAAGGCTGGGAATACAGGGGCGGACTGACAACTCATGGGGCCCCCGGGCAATAGGGGATCATGGGGCCCCTGTGTCCTTGTCCAAACTCAAAAAAGCCTATGAAAAAGGTACCAGGGGCATCTCATGGGGCCCCCTACTGACCCCGGGCCCTCGGGCAACGCCCCAGTTTCCAAATGGTCAGTCCGCCCCTGAACCAGCCTGTATTGTTTTTCTCTCGCAATCACTGCCAGTGGCTGTAGCCGCCAGCAGTGATTATTGTACTTTGCCGGTGGGAAACGCTCCCTGCATTCCCTACCAGTAGAACAAAATAGCACTGAGGGAGCAATTCGTCCCGCAACACTGACTGTGTTAATGGGGGAATCAACCAATATTATTTCCTTTAACCACTTCCAGACCGGACACTTTCACCCCCTTCCTGACCAGGGCAATTTTCGCTTTCAGCGCTATCACACTTTGAATGACAATTGCGCAGTCATGCAACACTGTACCCAAATTAATTTTTTACCATTTTTTTGAGACAGATAAAGGTTTATTCTGGTGGTATTTATTCACTGCTGGGATTTTTATTTTTTTTGCTATGTAAATGAAAAAGTCCAAAAAATTTTGAACAAAAGTGTTTTTTTATAAAATTTTGCAAATAAATAATATTTCATCATAAATCTTTGCCAAAATGTATTCCGTTATCGTTTTAGTAAAAAAAAAAAAAAAAAAACAAATTAGTTTATAACCAAAAATTATAATTTTTAAACATTTTTTTTTTACATTTTTATTTTATTTTTTTATATTATTTTTTATTTATTTTTTTTTTTTTTTACATACTGTCACCCTAGCAGTACAGTGTCACCATGGTGAAACTGTACTACTTGTGGGGGGTGATGAAGATTTTTTTTTTTTTTTTTTTTTTACAATGATTGCTTTTACACCCATATAGGATGTAAAAGCAATCATTTCTCTTTCTCTCTGTCTGCATTCTTGCACTCATTGAGAAGTACTGAGTGAGCTGTGATTGGTCACAGCTTGTCACATGGTACAAGGCTGTTGTGAATAGCCTTGTACCATGTGACCTCTGTGATCATTCACAGATTTCACACGTAGTAAGCAATGATGTCACAAGTGACATCTTGCTTACTACTTTGCATGTGATCACTGATTGGCCAATCAGTGATAACATGATCGGGACCTCGTACAGAGGTCCCGTCCGACGATCGGTGTTTCACTGTGTCCGGAGGAGCGCGCACAAGCAGGGTGCGGGGAGGCCGTTCTTAAACAGCCACCTGACCCTGCACTGCCACCGTCCGGCCGTTTATATGCAACGGCCAGTCGGGAAGTGGTTAACCCAGAGTTGAAGGAAAGAGAATTGCATAATGTATGCCTAGCGTTAGACACTTCACTTGAGAGGTTCTGTATAGAAGCCTGTGTCTCCACCTCTCCCAAAAGACTACTAGCTGGATCACCCAAATATTAGTTTCCTCTGAATTATGGATCAGTGGAAGCATCTCATCCACATACAGGCTGTGGTGGTTGGGAGGAAATGGCAATTTTGGGAGATCAAGTAATGAGAAAAATAACACCAGGAGATACAGTGCGGCAAAAAAGTATTTAGTCACCACCAATTGTACAAGTTCTCCCACTTAAAAAGATGAGAGAGGCCTGTAATTGGCATCATAGGTAGACCTCAACTATGAGAGACAAAATGAGAAAAAAAATCCAGACAATCACATTGGCTGATCTGGAAAGAATTTATTTGCAAATTATGGTGGAAAAGAAGTATTTGGTCAATAACAAAAGTTCATTTCAATACTTTGTTGGCAATGACAGAGGTCAAACGTAAGCAGGGGGACACGTCTGGCACTGCAGGATCTGAGTCCCTGACGGCGTAGTGTATTACTGATGGTAGCCTTTGTTACGTTGGTCCCAGCTCTCTGCAGGTCATTCACTAGGTCCCCCCGTGTGGTCCTGGGATTTTTGCTCACCGTTCTTGTGATCATTTTGACCCCACGGGGTGAGATCTTGCGTGGAGCCCCAGATCGAGGGAGATTATCAGTGGTCTTGTATGTCTTCCATTTTCTAATTATTGCTCCCACAGTTGATTTGTTCACACCAAGCTGCTTGCCTATTGCAGATTCAGTCTTCCCAGCCTGGTGCAGGTCTACAATTTTGTTTCTGGTGTCCTTCGACAGCTCTTTGGTCTTCACCATAGTGGAGTTTGGAGTGTGACTGTTTGAGGTTGTGGACAGGTGTCTTTTATACTGATAACAAGTTCAAACAGGTGCCATTGATACAGGTAATGAGTGCAGGACAGAGGAGCCTCTTAAAGAAGAAGGTACAGGTCTGTGAGAGCCAGAAATCTTGCTTGTTTGTAGGTGACCAAATACTTATTTTCCACCATAATTTGCAAATAAATTCTTTCCAGATCAGCCAATGTGATTGTCTGGATTTGTTTTCTCATTTTGTCTCTCATAGTTGAGGTCTACCTATGATGCCAATTACAGGCCTCTCTCATCTTTGTAAGTGGGAGAACTTGTACAATTGGTGGCTGACTAAATACTTTTTTGCCCCACTGTATAGGAAGGCAGCAGGTGGCTTACCAGCAATCGTGAAATGTCAGTTTAGGTGGGAAGGGGGTGGGGGGGGGGGCTGCCATTGTTGTGCGCTAGCAGACTGTGGGAACCAGAGACCCCAACAGACACGAACAAAGCTGAACCCAAATGTATGCCAATGAGAAAAGACAAAAACCAAATCAGGAATACTTACTTTTACACTTTTCCTTCCATATTTTCTCTCTACATTTTGGACACATTTTGACAACTGCTTGTACTTGTTCTCGGTGTTCACTTTGAATTTCCTACCAATGCCCATGTCTTTGTGATGCTTGGCCTAGAAAAGTTGAGTGTGATGAACAAAGGTATCAAAAAATATACATGAAAATGACCAGTAAACTGCAGATTTATTAAAGCCGAACTGAAGCCATGATCTCCAGCCGTCCGACACCCGCCGGCGCAGTGCCCCAATCATACACGCTCATT